TTGTCCACAACATAATACTACTCATGTTGGATGACATTCACCGAAGATCACTCTCGGTTGGACTATAGTTTATTTTGAATAAACACAAGTCCGAATACTTTGCAAAAGGTTTCAAAGAATTCAAGAAATGTAAGTTGATGAGTAAGACGTCTAAAGTATTTACCTCCTTAGATTTGATCCAAGGAAAAGTAACACTTTAGATGAGTTTCCTTGAAAGATATCAAGGAAAATAGCATCATAAGATAATGAATTTCTCCATTAAGGAGAAGAACGAACTCGAATAAGATTTAGTTCGTTGGATGTTATCTATTACCCATATATAGGATATATATACTTCTAAGAACAATATGATTGTCAATTAGAAGATCTTCCAAATTTTCATGACTCCATAAGATGTAGTTGGAAAGAAAGACAAATCTTAATCATGTTAAGATTTGGGGTTGTGTGCTAATAAGCAATATTTGTTTGAGAATTAATCTTGTGGGATATCCTTAAATTAACTTTTGGATATCGCTTCTATAAACCAACTAACAAATGTTGTTTTGTTGGGTAGTTCATTGTAATCCTACAATATGATTTGCCTAAGATAAAGCAATGAACGAGAGATAGAACTCAAAGAATGGGTTCTTTGAGAGACAAGATGATAATCAACAAATATAACAACCTAGTTCCTATACCACAAGCTCCAAGGTAGTCGAGAAGGATTTATAAACCGTCTCAGTTGAATGGTTTGAACTTTATGACTATGTCATAGAGTTGCACCTCTTAATTCGAAAGAAATAAGAATGAAAATCCTTATGACTACATTGAGTGTATATATGATATATACTCAAGGAAATGGTAAAGTACCATTTGACTCGAAATAATGAAACCTTCATAGCTAATTGGTAGCTTAAGGTGACTACAATCAAAGAGAATGGTTGACTTTGAAGGAACCATTTTTGACGTAGTCTTAGTTTCAATTAATTCGAAGATTGCTAGCTACAACTAAATGGTGATTCAATGTTTGGACATAATATAGGTTTCCGAAACCATTATTAAGATAGTCTTGATAATATATGTCTAAAACTATGAATCACAAGACATGTAAGTTGTAGAGATCCATCCATCATGGATCTTAGCAAGCTAGTGGGAGCTATAAGCGTCTTATGAGAGAAAGGTCAAATCGTTTGATTTCTCATAAAGATGTAAATGAATCTTTTGTTTACTAGGTTTACAAAAGATTAGTGGGAGTTAATCATATTCCTAAACTTGTATATATATATATGATATATTAATTTTGGAAATGGAAAGAATACTTCTTCGTTAAAGTTATGACTTTAAACATTTGTTAAAGTTATGACTTTAAACATTCTATAAAGATGGAATGTATATGGGAGACATAGTCTATATACATGGGATGGAAATCTATATTGATAGATTTTAGGATATAATTGGATTATATCAAGCCCTAAATATACACAAAAGATGCTAGGAAGTTTCTCATATGATGATGAACTTCAATCAAAAGGACAACTCTAGTGAGACTAAGAAGTTGCTCTTCTCAAAGAGAACGTACTCTTTAACTCCCAAAGAAATAATGCGTAAATAGAATCCTTTATGCATACGCAGAAAGGTGATTTATGTATTTCATATTGTATGAAAAACATTGACATGGGTTGTACCTAGAACGGTACAAGACGAATATCAATGCAAGCCCAGGATCAGAACCATGCAACTGTCAAGTGAGTCCTTAAGTATTTAAGAAATACTAAAGGATAGATTCCTCAAAGAATGAGGAAGAATTAGAGTAACGTAATGGAAGCGTAAATGTATTAGATTATGAATCTAATCCATCATTGGATGTTTCTTCATTATGAATGATGAAGAGATAAACAAATATCTCTTTATTATGACTAAAGAGATATTTGGATGGAAACATTAAAAGTAATGACTTTAGTGTGTTCCATTATGAATGCAAAATATATTGCCATATAGAAGCTTACAACAGTGTTGTTTGGATGAGAAAGTTCATTTATGAACTCTCTATTCGGTTCCAACCAGAAAGTGTATCTAGTGTACTGACACTATGACACTAATGGGGCGATAGCTCAAGCCGGGGAATCAAGGTCTCATCAAGATCCGAACTCAAATGAGAGACTGAACCACATGATTGAGAATCATGTATAATGGTGACGTCGTTATTCTCAAGGTTGCTTCTATGGATAACATATAGATATCCATTGTCTAGGCCTACTATTCAGCCATTTATGAAATGACTACAGAAGAGGTATCATCACTGATGACCAAGCTGATTGGCTCTAGTGCAAGTGGGAGATTGTTGGAAATGTGCCCTAAAACCAATCATATGATGATACTTTACGGACATTTCACATGTTAAACTAATCTAGTTTAAATTATAAAGGGCAAAGATTATTGTTTAAGCCGTCTCATATAAATGTTATATGCTTAAACGATAAGTCCAAGGAATATGTGATTGGGAGAATACGATCTAAAGAAGTTAGATTCATGAGACCATTCTTTCGTAGACACATCCTAAACGTTCCTGATCATAGGATTGCCAATTGGGCATTGACAGTCCGTTAAGATCAGTACGTGTTGTGTCTTCTCTCAGGGAGAGTGACTAGTCTCGAGTCATTGGTGTGTGTGACATCAAGACAAGTACGTAGGTGCTCAATAGAGAATGAGTTCACTGAACACGATCAACGAAGAGTTCTCATATTCATGTCACATGAGAACTCATGGTTGGGATAATGCAAAGTAGTCCTTTGACCTGAGGCATCACAGTTGTCTTGTGGTTAAGTCCTTGATCTTTGATTATGTCAAAGTCACCCCATCCGCGGGTGTCCACGGCATCGTTGGGGTTAAGCCACTTAGCCATGGAGGCAAGTGAATGCGCAACAAAGGGATCTCTAACCTTCAAACCGTTTGGGGGAGAATACTCTATGATATGATTTAGAATCTCTGGCCAGAGTATGAATAAGATTTAGGAAGGTGTTCCAAATCACATTCAAGGTAATCATATAAGCACACGAATCACATTGGATAGTAGACATGAATAAACTATCAAACCAAACAATGTGGTCAAGAGTATTGTATTAGAGAAAGACCGTATTGCATTTGTAATCCTAAACTGAATAGGTTCTCCACCTCTTCTGATTAGCTTGGGTAACCATGATATGCTGCTAGGTGTCACTCATGGTTTGTGGAAGCCCTAAACGTGTATAATCACTAAAGGGAGAATTGAAAGTAAGTTTCAATTCACAATCGATGTTGAAATGGTTTTAATCGCCCACTGCCTCGCTAAAAGGAACCTAATGGATCGTACACTGTGTAAGGTGGAGATTGAAGAAACAATGGAGATGAGTAAGAATAATTAAATGGTTTAATTATTTATGGCAAGGATTAATTAATATGTTAATTAATCAAACGAATAAGTTCGTTAAAGACCTCGGGATAGTTTTGGACCTTAAGGCCCAATGGGCTTCGAGCGTCAAGCACATTGACTTAAGTTGTATGACAATTTAATGAATAAAGATTCACAAGGGCCCAAAAGCCCATATCCCTTATATGGCCGGCCAAGTGAGATAAATTAGGGTTTTTGGTTCTTTAGGTCACTTAAAGAAGTGACTATATAAAGAACTTTATAGCCAAAATTCATTAAGGGTTCTTTTGGAGAAAATTGGAGAGAACATGTCTCTCATTTTCTCTCTAGGAGGCCGGCCCCCTTGGAGGGTGTATCTAGCAATCCTACTACTCCAAGGTCACTCATTTCTTCTCCAATCTAACCTTGGTGAAGATACTTAGAGGTTCTCAATTTTGGGAACTTGGAGAAACCTATTCTTCCATCCAAATCCATAGATTTTAGATGCAAGGAATGAAGGCCCTCTCTTTGGGTGATTAGCCTTTGCTTATGCAAAGAGGAATCTACAAAGGTATATATTTCTCAACTCACTTTGATTTGAGTTGAGTCTTGGTTCACCAATCTACTAGGCTTTGAATTTCATGGATAATGTTTTGTTTTTGAGTGCATGCAAGCATGATTCCGCCTTTAATTGTTAATTGCATGCTTTATGATGTTGCTCAAATGAACAAGTTTTCACAAAATAATCCTTCAAATGGTAAGCCTAAAGCAGACAATATCGTGCTACGGTGGCGGAGCGGGCCTGGGATGTGGTGGACCCGGGTCGGGATGTGACACTCACAGTTTTGTTTCTGGGAACTTACACGAGAACTTCCCAGTGGGTCACCCATCATGGGATTACTCTCGCACGAACTCGCTTAACTTCAGAGTTTCGATAGAACCCGATAGACGTCATCGTTGGCACACTTCCGACCAAGGATTTTCTCTGATACCAAATTGTCACATCTCGACTCGGGCCCCCACCACATCCTTGGCTTGACTCGACCGTAGCACGATATTGTCCGCTTTGGGCCCTGACCACGCCCTCACGGTTGTGTTTCTAGGAACTCATACGAGAACATTCCAGTGGGTCACCCATCCTGAGATTGCTCTTACTCGAACTAGCTTAACTTCGGAGTTCCAATGGAACTCGAAGCCAATGAGCTCCCCAAAAGGTCTTGTGCTAGGTAAAGATGAGAATATACATATAAAGCTTACAGGATCCACTCCTCTGGACGATGTGGGATGTTACAATCCTTATACCTGTTGTTCCGTGTTCGAATATGCATCCCCATAATTTATTGTAGATATCCTATCGTTGGTAATAGAAAAATAAAAAAATAGAGAGATTAAAATAACAAATCTACTGTTAAACATAGACGAAATAATGGATGTAAATTTGAAAATCTAATGTTGAGAATGGTTACTTTTTTAGGAACTAGCTATTTACAAAAATTAAGAGGTAATTGTTTAAATTAAAAATTAAAAAATTAAAAAAATTAAAAATTATAGGAACTTCCTAAAGGGTAAATCGGCGAAACCACAAAAAGTAAAAAAAGTTCCTAAACGACATGTCGTCGTATTGAATTGGAATTCAGAGAAAGAAGCGACAGTGTTTCTCCGTACGTTGTCTCTCCGTACGTCGGCAATGGAAGTTCTTCCGAGAACGTCGGCGAGCTTCGTTTCTCTGCTTATCCTCTGTATCTCATTGGTAACCAATTTACTATCTCTGTGATTTTATAGGGTTTCTTTTTCAATGGCGGATCGATTTCCATAGCTTAGAAGTTAAATCCCTCGTATGAAAATAATCTTCTAATTATTCATCTAGTGATTAATGCTAATCTTAGTGATTAATGTTATACCGTTAAATGATTCACTTATTTGAGCAGTATCAGGTTATGCATCAGTTAATTTCAGATTAGGTTTTAAATTCTGTTTTTGATGAATCAATTCGTTTAGGTTGCTTTGCACTGTGTCCTAATTGGAGCAGATATATCTGATGCTACAGCACGGTATGACCCGCTTTGTTCTTGGTTTTCGGAATTGATTCTTTTGGTTTATTCCAATTTGTTATACTCTGATTGTTCTGATTGTCGTTGCTGATTTTTTTTTTTTTCAGGCAAAGAGATATCAGTAAATACCGATCGCTCTGTGATTGTGAGCAATGTGAAGATGGCACGGTTTGTATCCCGCCTTTCCACATATGATAAAAATTTAGTAACTATGCATTTGTGGTGATGCTAGTTTTGTTGTACTAGCCTGTAGGAAACAGACATGTTTAGTCGTTTGTGATTTGATATCGCTTTGATTTTTCACAGGGTTGTTTTCGTTTCACTTTCATGGCCTTGCATCAATTGTATTTTTTTTTTTGTTTATTTGTTAAGAGGGTTCTTAGTTCGGAAACATTAGAGGTCGTTTAGAAAAGGACAACGAAGTGGAACGTAAGTTAGCAGTTATAGTGTATGCATAGTTTGATCTCAGAGTTAGTTATATAGATGGTTGATATTTAGTTATGGGAAAAGTTAGCTTTTGTCATTTTCTTGATGATATAGGGAAATACATTACAGTGAAGGGAATATTTCCAAAAGAATTGTATTTGATCTTGTTTGCACTCAAAATATACCCATTTTTACTTATTTGGGCAATTTGGGTAAAATATGACATTTGGAGGATTAATATGCAAGAAAGCTAACTTGGAAAGATATTTAGATGCAAGTGGAGGGGTTGGACACTATAATATTGTTCTTCCAATTTGTTTTGGTGGTGGAGATTTGTCAAGCATTGTTTAATCAAGATACATGCATCCTTGCAAATGGGTTGGAAGGCAACATACGGGTGTGGATGCTAGGAACAAATGAAAGAAGCCAACTTGCTTCTTTTAAATGTTAGTTTATTACAAGTGGGAAAACATGTGCTAAAAGCATGTGGTGGAGATGCAAATTCCCCTTTTAATATTGTTTCTACATGCAAGTTGGCAAAAGCAATGCAAGCTACCCAAGTAAGGAAATGCAAGCTGCCCAAGCTTCTTTCGGGCAAGTACAAAACCTCAACAGGAGGGTTTCCTCCAGACCTCTATAAAAAGGAGCAGATGCACAAGGATTATGGACACTCAATCAAACAAACAAAAGCACAAACTCTGCTCAAACCAGATTTGCCAAAAGCCTTCTTTTATCTTAAGTTTATTAGCTCTGCTACTCACTTGTAGTATCGATCTCATTTGTAGTTTTTATGTACTCATTTCCAGTCATATAAATTACAAGCAATCTGCAATATTAGCCACTTTACCTTGTCATTTACATATTGTTCTATCTCTTCATATAAGTAAAGTCCTTATTTTTAAGGCAAACAAAGAACCTTAATTTGAGCAACTCCCACTCAAATGGCACAATCTCTTGATTTGAAGTCAAAAGGCGCAACCTCAATCATTCAAATCCTGTCTACTAGCGGCATCTAGTAGTGGCACGCCCGCACCCACCAATCTCATATGTGAAGTAAATCCCCGGCTTGCCCGCAAGGCGCCATGGCGGATTTAGGGAGCGAACAGATCTACAATCATTTTAAGTTCCCTCACTGGTGGAGGTGGCAGATTAACCCATTGGGGTCTTAATGGGTAACCGTTAAGACCTGTTTAATTTGATTTCACCATAATATGATGGTGAGATTGGTAGTGGTGACTATGGTATGGTACCTTATTCTGGTACAATCAAACTAAATGGGTCTTAATGGTTACCCTTTAACAACCCGGTTTGATTTGCCAGAGAAAGATTGATCGCTGAAGTGATATGCATCTCCACTGTCTGTCTGACACCCACAAATCCTGCATTCATATGTTTCATCTTCATCTTCAATTGGAGCGGTTGCAAAATCTTTACTATATGCTGATTGAGCAGGGAGAGGGTGCATCTGTGATCAGAGTCAGTACTCTACCAGATGAAAAGGTACTTGATGACGGGTACTTTTTATTTATGTTTGTAGTTGCCAATGGTACTTATGTCTTTTATCCTATTCCGAACAGAATATTGACATAATTGCGACATACAGCAACAATCTTGGAGCTATGCAAAGTAGTAGGGTTAAAATGGGGGACCTATCCGCTTCTTGGGTCTTGGAAAATCCTGTTGATGGAAGGCAGGAACATCCAAAGAGATTTGAGGTATTGGATATACAGTTTCTTATCATAGCTGAAGGAAATGAAGGTCACATAGATTGAAATTTCACAACTTCTACATCTCTATTTGTCATAGGCTTTTAGTTCAACTGGATTGGAGTTGTATTTTCTAGATAGAAACTTGGATAGGAAATTAACTTAGTTAATTCTTCTTTCCAGATGGCGGAGGATTCATCTCAATCTGGATTGACATTTGAAGAAAAGACTCAGCATCCTACAGATGATCATCAATCTGGTGAAGGTGAACTTCCATATTCTCGTCTATCATCAATGAGCCCAGTGAAGCTCAAGCGTCGGGTGAATTGTCAAATGCTTCTTGTTTTACTTCACTATGTTCATTTTGTTCAGTTGGGTTTGTAGTCTGAAGGTTTTCCTGGCCCGTTAGGTAATGCGGCAAGAAAGGAGGAATCTTCGGACTGCAGAGTTGATAGGAAAGGATACAGAAGCTAATAACCAGATGGCTGCAGCAGCAATTGAACGATCAAAAGACTTTGATCCCCTTGTCAAGGGAAAGTACAGCATATGGAGGAGTGATTATGAAAGCCCAAATTCTGATTCAACCTTGAAACTTATGCTGGACCAGATCATAATGGCCAAATCTTACGCAAGCATTGCCATGTCGAAGAATGAAACTGATCTTTTTAATTCTCTCATGAAACACTATAAACTTAGTCAGCATGCTATTGGAGAAGCAAGTTCAGACGCTGAGCTTCATTCAAGGTTTTTCTATTTTTTATCTGCTTGCAAGCTTATCGATTTTATGCAGAGTTTTTATTTTGTTTAATTTTTCTTTTACCAGTGCACTTAACCGAGCCAAAGCAATGGGCCGTGTTCTCTCTGCAGCGAAAGACAAATTATATGACTGCCTCACTGTCGAAAGGAAGTTGAGAGTCATGCTTCAGTCAACTGAAGAGAATCTAAATGCTTTGAAGAAAAAGAGTGCATTCTTGAATCAGCTTGCTGCAAAAACAGTCCCTAAACCGTTACATTGCCTTCCTCTACAACTTGCATCTGACTATTTCTTATTGGGTTATCATAATAGAGGGGATGCAAACAAAGAAAAGCTTGAGGATCCTTCTCTCTTCCACTATGCCATCTTTTCTGATAATGTTATAGCAACATCAGTGGTTGTTAATTCTACCGTGCTGCATGCGAAGGAACCCAACAAGCATGTTTTTCATGTAGTCACCGATAAACTAAATTATGCTGCTATGAGAATGTGGTTTATTGTCAACCCTCCTGCAGGAGCAACAGTCCAGGTTGAAAACATTGATGATTTCAAATGGCTGAATTCTTCTTCGTGTTCTGTTCTCCGTCAACTTGAATCTGCCAGACTTCAAGAATATTATTTCAAGGCAAATCATCCTTCTTCCCTCTCTATGGGTTCTGACTCTCTTAAATATCGGAATCCAAAATATTTGTCCCTGCTGAATCATCTAAGATTCTACCTTCCTGATGTTTACCCAAAGCTGGACAAGATCCTATTTCTGGATGACGATATTGTAGTTCAGAAGGATTTGACGCCTATTTGGTCTGTTGACCTTCAAGGGAATGTAAATGGTGCAGTGGAGACCTGTAAAGAGAGCTTCCATCGGTATGATAAATATCTCAACTTCTCAAATCCATTAATCTCTGATAACTTTGATTCCAATGCTTGTGGCTGGGCATTCGGCATGAATATCTTCGACTTGAAGGAGTGGAGGAAGCGAAACATCACTGGTATATATCATCGTTGGCAAGACATGGTAAAGTTTCATCACCTTTGCCGTTCTTCCCATTATTTCCCATTTTTCATTCTCAAGTTCTTAAGATATTCCCAATTAAGAAACCGTAACTGATGGAAGAACCGTTTTGCAGAATGAGGACAGAACTCTTTGGAAACTTGGGACATTGCCACCAGGACTTATAACTTTCTACAACCTGACCTATCCGCTGGATCGGGGTTGGCATGCGTTGGGACTTGGCTATGACCCGGCCCTCAACAAAACGGCGATAGAGAATGCAGCTGTGATCCATTACAATGGAAACTACAAGCCATGGTTGGATCTGGCTATTTCAAAGTACAAGGCATATTGGTCAAGATATGTAATGTCTGATAACCCTTATCTTCGACTTTGCAAAATCAGTGAATAAAAACCTAACCCCCCCCCCCCCTTCCCCTCACGGTCACCACACACACACACACTCACACAGACACTCGGCTCTCGTAATATCCGTCGGTCGGAAGAAGAAATGGAAATTCAAAATTCTTTATTTCTTTTAGAGACGTCATTTTAGTGTAGGAAGAGAACGAAAATGTTTCTGCAAACTGGAAAGCCTACATTTTTTTGGGAGTTCCAATAACAGCTTTCGAAAGCTAATTCAAAGTTGCGAGTACGAAAATTTTCCAAAACTTTCTCCTCTGTTGTTTGATAACTTAAACGTAAATAGTCATTTTGCTCATTTTTTTTGGTTGTTGATACAAATGAGATCGGGTGCAAGCACACGAAACGTTGTAGAGAAATTTTTTTAGTTTGATTGTCACAACCTCATGTCTTGGTACCAATTCATCAATATTATAAATATCTATGAAATATCAATCATGTTGTACCATCATGTGACGACGACTGTTGCACCTGAAATTTTCACTGCATTGAAGAACCAACAAAAAGGACTGAATAATAGTGGAGGACAACAGCACATACATACATTATGTGTGCATGTTGGAAATGCGCTTCCCCACGATTCCAAACCTTTCCAATTGCAATGTGAGGCTCAAAGAGCTATCATCTAATGGAAAATGGCAAGAACTACTTTGCCACCACCATGAAATCCAGAAATCTGGACTTAAACTAACAGACCCTTCAGCCTTCCCTCCAATCCTCAAAGCATGCTCGACCCTCCGCTCCTCCGCCTTTGGAAAGGCGGTGCACGGAGGCTTGATCAAGACTGGATTCGAGTCCTGCACTTCCGTGGCGAATTCCGCCATGGATTTTTACGTTAAAACAGGGGAATTGGGTTCTGCATTGTGTGTTTTTAATGGCATGAGGAGCAGAGATGGAGTTTCTTGGAATATTGTGGTTTGTGGGTGCCTTGATCAGGGTGATTTGGAACAAGGGTTGTGGTGGTTTAACAATGCTAGGGTTTATGCTGATGGGTTTCAGTTTCAACCCAATAATTCTACTTTGGTGCTTGTAATCCAAGCGTGTCGCCGCCTCCGGGATAAGTGTGAGGGGCTGATCGTACATGGTTATGTGATTCGAGGCGGGTTTTCCTTTGTATCTTCGGTTCAAAACTCTTTGTTGAGTCTGTATGCAGAGGAAGGTGATATGGACAGCGCGCGGAATGTGTTTGATGAAATGCGTCAGAGAGATGTTATCTCTTGGAGTGTGATGATTGGGGGCTTTGTACGTTGTGAGGAAGCTCTAATTGGGATGCAGATGTTCCGAAGGATGGTAGCCGAGCTTGGCATTGAACCGGATGGTGTTACAATGGTCAGTGTTCTTAAAGCATGCACTAATTTGAAGGACTTGACAATGGGACAGTCGATCCACGGGTTGGTAATCTGTAGAGGTTTAGATTGTGATATGTTCGTTGGAAACTCTTTGATTGATATGTATTCCAAGTGCAGTGATGCGGATTCTGCATCTAAAGTTTTCGAGGCAATGCCGCGAAGGAATAAGGTCTCGTGGAATTCTATTTTATCTGGATTTGTGTTCAACGAGAAGCATTTGGAGGCCCTGTCACTGTTTTTCTCTATGGGGAATGAAGGAATTGAGGCGGACGAAGTTACTCTTGTGAGTGTTCTTCAAACATCCGAACATTTGGGCTTGATTCATTGCAAGTCGGTGCACTGCGTAACAATCAGGCAGGGATACGAATCAAATGAATTGCTCCTGAATTCTCTCATGGATGCTTATGCAAAGTGCAACGATGTTGAGCTTGCATGGAAACTTTTTAGAGAGATGAAGAAAAGAGATGTGGTTTCGTGGAGCAACATGATTGGAGGGTTTGCTAGTTGTGGCAGACCCGATGAAGCAATTGCCGTATTCAACGAGATGATGAGGCTGCAGGGACAAGATCAGAAGCCCAATGAGATCACCATCATAAATCTTTTTGACGCTTGTTCAGCTTCTGCCGAATTGAAGAGGTCGAAATGGGCTCATGGAATTGCTATCAGAAGAGGTTTGGCAGCACAAGTAGCTGTCGGAACCGCAATTGTAGACATGTACTCGAAATGTGGGGCAATAGGAGAATCGAGAAAGGCTTTTGGACAAATTCTTGAAAAAAATGTCGTGTCATGGAGTGCCATGATAGCTGCGTATGGAATGAACGGTCTTGGCCATGAAGCACTAGCTTTACTTGCAGAAATGAAGCTGTATGGTTTGAAACCAAATGCAGTGACCATTCTTTCTGTGCTATCTGCGTGTAGCCATGGAGGTTTAGTCGAAGAGGGCCTTTCCTTGTTCAATTCGATGGTTCAAGATCACGGCATTGAACAAACCGGAACATTACACTTGTGTAGTTGACATGCTGGCCCGAGCAGGAAAGCTTGTAATGGCAATGGAATTTATCAAAAAAATCCCAGAAAGTTTTATGGCCGCCAGAACAAGTAATGCTTGGGGTGCATTATTGAGCGCTTGCAGAAGCTATAGGAACAGCAAAGTTGGTTTTGAAGCCGCCTCTCGTGTGCTTGAGCTGGAGCCTGAAAACTCAGCCGGGTACTTACTGGCGTCGAGCATTTATGCAGCGAACGGGTTGTGGGTCGACGCTGCAAGTATGAGAAGGTTGGTGAAGGAAAGAAGGGTGAGGGTTGTGGCTGGTTACAGCTTAGTGCATGTTGGTAACAAGGCATGTAGATTTGTTGCTGGTGATGGTAATTCCCACTCCAAATCCGTTTCACCATCTCATGGAAATATGCACTCAATGCTCGAGCTGTTGCATGCCTGCATGAACAAGACCGGAAACAGGAATATTGTTGATGATTTCGACTTAATTGAATAAAGTTCGTTAGTTCAGTTGCTTTGTGGTGATTGAGATTAAATATTGATGACGTAACAATCAAATATCAACAACGAAAGATACTAAAAGCCAATCATTGCCGCTTAGTACTAAGATCTAGTGATATTCTTTTTCACTTGTAAGTGAGATGTTTTATATTCAATTTTTGCCAAAGGCGAATTTGAACAACATTATTACTAGCCATTGTGAGATTAGGCCCATCCCCTCTCCCTTATTGTAGATAATATCACTTGTTTTGAAAAGAAAAAAAAAAGATTTTGGATGCGGCCCCTAACTATCAAGGTTCTTTGATTGAAACTTTTGTGGTTTCAAATTTTTATTGAACTCTCTGATATTAATGTAATAATATATTTCTATGTAGGTTATAGTATTTAAAATTAAAATGAAATTTGTAGTTATTTATATTAATGAGATACATTCTTAAATCAACGAAATAGAATGTACCCATATAATTTTAAAAAATGGATTAGAGAAAAGATTCAATGAATTTTATATAAAAATAGGTACATTTTATATATTAAAAAGGATACATTTTTCATACAACAAATTGGTATATTTAAGAAATGGGTACATTTAAGATTAGAAAAAAAATTAAAAAATTATATGAACGGGTACATATAAGATTAAAACATTAAATTTAATTACAATGGGAAACAAGGCTGTAAGGTGGAGCGAATCCGGAAAGATTGCCTCAATTCGTGTTATTCTCTGCAACTTGGGAACATTTTGATTTGTATTTTATTTGTATAAGTATTTCACATCGACAATGAAATTTGTAATGGGATTTGCTTGCAATACAAGTAAGGGGAACTCTTGTTTGAGAACTTTTTTTTACAAAAATTTAATGGGTACAAACTTATTCTAATTTTATTTTTTATATTTTGGAAATGTTTGAATTGAAAATTGATTAGGAATTTAATAAGAGTGTTGCCTTTGCATCACAATGTGAGTTCGAACCCCGTCGGCTCCCTAATCTAATATTTAATCTAACAAATCTATCATTTGAAAAAAAGGTGTGAATATTAAAACTCTAAATTACTTACTAATTTTTATTTTAAAACATTATGTAACTGACATGTAATTTATTAATATATTAATGCTAGAGATTTTGATCAAAATCTAAAATTGATAACATCTTAGTCAATGAACATTGGAAACTAGGGACCAGATACTAATTTTTTCAAAAAAAAAAAAAAACGACCATTTTAGCAACTGAAAATCAAAAAATGATTTTTTATTTTTTACCGATTTTTCTTGTATAACCGTGGATAACCGTCTGAATGGAACAAATTTGGGAATGAAAATTCAATTATATTTCAGATATAGGAAAAAACCGGAAATATTATTCGGTTATAGTTTCATCTATGGTTATAGGGTTCTCAATCTATATCCTTCTCGAATCCTACCCGAATAATACATGTTATATATAATATAATTTGTATATAATAATTATAGTATTGTATAATATATACCGAACTCATTATTTTGAGAATTACAAAAGTTTCATTTTGTGGGAGAGATCAAACATCAGCCAACATCATCAATATATCTATTATATTATAATGACAAAATTAGTATTTATTATATTGTAATGTGTAATGAATATATTTTTTGTATTGATGAAGATGAATATAATCGTTAACCGATCGAAAATCCATTACCCGATGAGAATGGTTATTAACTAATCTTCAATGATTAATTTACAGTTATGAACAAGATTAATTTTTATGATTGTGAAATGAATATAGTTTTTCCGTTCCCAACCCAAGCGTTGCTAGTAGTACCTATTTCCATGTAAATATCCTCAAATATGTCGGTAACAAAGTTACCGTTCTGGTCCCGTTAATAAACGACGTCAAATATTACAGTTTACTGCCAACCCCGTTCAAAACGCAGCGCTGTACGAATAAATTCGCGAAAGATATGATGACACATCCCATTAATGTCTCGTGTCGCATCCTCATAATTTGCAGAAAAAAAGAATAAAAAAAAGAGACGTTTAAACCGTTCACCCTCAGTCACTCCGTTTGACTCTTTTGCCCAACAACAACCAAACCCCGACGACGTCTTTTGCTGCACTCCATCGATCCATCATTCACAAATCATGGAATCGTTTCTGTGTTTTGCTGCTTTTTTCCTTCTCTTTCAGGTATGATTTTTTTTTCGATTTTTTACAATTTTCTGCAATTTTTTCTGTTTTGATTTTTGTCTTCTGGGCAAATTCTGATGGTTTGTAGTTGTAGAGATAATATTTAGAGAAGATTTATGGAATAATTATATGAGTGATGATTTTTAGAGAAAAAAAGTTCCACTCTTGCATGACGTTGTATGTTTCTTCAGTTGTTCCAGTTGAGATATTTATTTATTTATTTATTTTTCTTCTCTGAACTGTTTGA